AAAAATACCCTTTTTAATTTATACTGCAAACTAATTTAGAGAGAGATCAGATGAATCTGTACCGTTGGATCGTTTATACTGCAAGTATATACTTGCAGTATAGAGTACCGTAATCAGTTTGTGAGCTCTGATTCTGAGGTATCCATGTTTTCCTATGAAACATTAGGCTTGGACTACATATTAAGTTTATCAATATTGAAAGTTGTTAAGAGCATTATAGTCTTCTCCCATCTCTTTTACATATCATATATACCTATTTGGCCTAACTCAATATTGCAACAAGTTCGATCCTCAATTTCTCTCTTCTTTCAGTATTTGACAAAAGTGAAACAAGTGTTCCCTATATCCATGTTCATGATGAGTTATCTATTCGAAGACGTGCCGGAAATCCTAATTAATTTGGAAATGAGAGGCTTCGGGTCGTTACAGTGCCAGATCAACCTACAGTGCCCTCCTCCTTGGCCATCTCCAGCTTTCTGTTCTTGCCATGACAGAGAAATCCTTGGCCCCAATTTGTTGCAAATACTCGCAAGACTTGCAGTGGGTGTCGCTGTTACTGGACTGCATCATGCCTTGAGAAAAGAGAACTATCACCCCAGGGAACTGCATATGTGTGATCAAGTTACACAGAGAAACATTGATCACATTTGATGAAATTATCAGGGAACTGCGTTTTGTTCTGTATGATTGTGCTTTTGGTTAGCTATTTTGTTTGTTCAGTTGTGGCCAGACTCTGCACTTCTTCTTGATGGAATGAATGCGCACACACATCTTTCGCACATTCCCTAAAACATATGTGTGCACTTCTTGTTTTCTGTTATAATATTTACAGGTTACAGCACCAGTTGTTGTCCCACAAATGTGCTCAGCTCAAGCCCTATGTCCAAGTCATTGATTAGACCATCCCAATGAATTGAATCTCTTGTACTAAATGAAGTTCTCTTTCTCACCTGTGGAGTGGTCAGTCAATCAGAAAGAACAAGAAACTAGGGCTGTGTTTAGTTCCCTTCAAACTTCTAACTTTTTCGTGTAGGATCAAATCACAGTAACTAAGCCAACCAGAGGGGGAGTGAATGGTTGGTATACCCAAAAACTGAAAACTTTTAGCGGAAATAAAAGCTACCCTCAAATTCGACGGATCGCGGTCTGACCGAAGGTGTTGCGCTGGTCTGACCGCCTGATAAACGTCGGTCTGACCGATGTAGATTGATCGGTTGAACCACCGAGATCGCCTACTAGCTCCTGCCTTCGCTGCCGGTCTGACCGCCTCGTACCCGCCGGTCTGACCGCCGCAATGTTGCCGGTCTGACCGCCGGTGCGTTGCCGGTTAGACCGCCGAAACCCGGAGAACACAAATCGAAGAACTCTTAAAGTGGATGACGACTTTATTGATTCTCTCTGTGTTTACAAAGTGCACCAACAGCACTCCTTACAAAAATTTCGACTAAACTCGAAACCATAATTCAAAACTCAACTCAATTGCTCTCAAAAGCGATATCGGGAAGCCTCACGCTCCCCCTCTATTTATACCCGAGGTAGGCAGCCTAAAGCCACGAACCAAACTCATACTAGGAGTCCTAAACACCTTAGGAAACCCTTTAACACAAGAACCAAACTTTACATAACCAATTATACCAAATTTGGACTCCTTTCAAATTCGACTTCGCATCCCATATGCACACAATAACTCCATCGTATGCCATATGGAATCTTCACCAACCACGTGCATCAACTCTAGCCTAAGTATCCCGCATGATTTCTGACCACCACGGACGTCGTCTTATCCCCAAGCCGACTCCCGGTCCATCACCGCAAATACTCTCCCCGAGGCATCGAGTCACCTACACATGAAATAAACAAAGAAATCATATTCCGAGACCAAGCTATCTCCAACTTGACTCATTAGTAGCAAACAACAGTATTACATACGTATAGTATCCATCTAGAAGCCATAATCATGAAATAATCACGGATATCCAAACAAACAACCCGAAACCGAAACCGACACAGAGTCGGCCGGTTAGACCACGGGCTAGGCCAGTCTGACCGCGCGATACACGCCGGTCTGACCGGCAACACTTGCCCGGTCTGACCGGTCACATGAAATAACAGCAGTATCCTGTAGATTCACCAGTGAAATCCAATCATCTCCATAACCACTTCGTGAATAAATTCCAAATATCAAAACCAATAATCTCCGATGCCAATTGTTCATTACAAAATAATAATCAAAAACACTTTTGATTTTACATTTCGTCACATCAAATGTTTAGACACATGCATGAAGCATTAAATGTAGAGGAAAAAAATCAATTGCACAGTTTCCATGTAAATTGCGAGACAAATCTTTTGAGCCTAATTACGCCATGATTTGACAATGTGGTGCTAAAGTAAACATTTGCTAATGAGGGATTAATTAGGCTTAATAGATTCGTCTCGCTGTTTACAGACGGAATCTGTAATTTGTAATTGTTTTGTTATTAGTCTACGTTTAATACTTCAAATGTGTGTCCGTATACGTCAAATTTTTTTTTGCCAGAATAACTAAACACGGCCTAGGTAAACTTGAAAGAAAATACTGTTCTCACAGGTCTAATGATGATGATTCCATTGGAATCCAATCCTCCCGATTCTTTTCTGATTAAGATATATATTTTATCTCGGTTTCCGTTACCACACTTTTCAAACCACTAAACGGTACATTTTGCACGAAAACTTTCTATATAGGAATTGCTTTAAAATATCAGATAAATCTATTTTCAAGTTTAGAATAATTAAAACTTAATTAATCATACGCTATTGGTTTTCTTGTTTTATTATGTGAACTCAAATAGGGTAAAGTACTAACAGAAGTTTTTTTTTCCCTTTTTCTGAACAAGGCTGACCAAATTATGTAGCCCGCAATCTATTGCTCGATACTCCCTCCTTACTCATAAAAGAAGTTGTTTAGGGCAATGTTTAAGTCAAACCTTCGGAATATAAATCATGAATAACTCTCAAGTTGTTGAGTTTAAAAATATAAAAATTATATGAATATATTTGTCTTGAAAAATACTTTCATAAAAATATACATTTATCACTTTTCAATAAATATTTTTATAGAAAAAAAAATCAAAGTTGTGTTTTGGAGACCGTGTCGCTTTTCAAAATGACTTTCTTTACTAGTACCGAGGGAGTACATGCTTTGGCTTCCCTGAAAGGCGAAGGGCTGCTCTTGACCTCAATTCTGCATCAATTTTTACCATATATCAAGGTTTGTTTAACCCATCAAATCTGCTCTCATTAAGCAGACATCTTGGCTTAGCACATTAATATTTATATAACATACTGTATATAATAACCAGTTACTAGTTTCTGAATCCTTTTTTTAGATGAGCACAGAATCTATGTTCGTCAGGCAGCGTTTGTCATGTTCCTTCATGGATGAAAGCTGTGTAACGTCATCTTTGTCGCGTACAATTTTATTTCTCAAATTGTCATGCCAGATACTTTCAAAGTCCAATAGAAAATTTCTACAGGGTATCGATCGTCCTGCCCGTCTGATGGTGACAAGGTGGTCAAAAGAAACTGCCCAAATCACAAGATTTCACTGCTAGTCTCATGCTCTCATGGTATGATCACTCGTCTTCTTTAAATGCACAACAATCCGTGTCAAATCATCAAAAGCAAGGAACTCAAGCAATGGCAAATTAAGGAGGGATGTGTTTAGCACTCAGTTAATCGTCTGACATACAATTCTTACCGCATGGTAAACCAGAAAAAAGAAACAAAGAATTTTGTGAATTGACACAGCTTGTACTTCAGTTCAGATACTATGGCCTGCTTGGACTTTGTTCACAAAATTCTTTGTTTCTTTTTTTTCCGGATTGTCACAGTTCAGATACTATATTCACAAATGTATCTAACTTAAGTACTCATGTTCTCTGATGAACATTGGACTTTGTTCCTGAGAAAGAGTGAGGTTGTGAGTTTATGAGCTATATTATGTTCATCAAGGGTGAAACATATGCTTGCTCCATGTTTTCTGTTTATAAAATTTGCAGCATCATTCTTGCCCCACAGATGAGCTCAACTCAATTCCTATATCCAAGTCATGGATTAAACCATCTCACTGAACCTCTCTTTCTCACTTCAACAGAGAAGAACACATGGTAAGCCAGAAATGTATAAAGAGGGTAATCACTTGTCACTCCTCTAATGATATGACTGCATCGTAATCTAATCCTTTAATCAGCCAACATACTAGTTATACCACTGCTACACTACACTTTGTAACTAACTAAAGGTTTCTTCTCGGAATTCTGCACAAGACACTCTGGATTCTGATTGTCTGAACAACATACAGTGTACATTCCCCTAAACACAGAGAGCTCTGAAATCTTAACCACTTGATCCCCTACAAACTTTCTTCTTCAAAGGACAAATGAACCTGACCAAAAAGTCTGTTTAAGCCATTAAATCTGCAAATCTTAAAGCAGCCAATATTTTTCTTTAGCAAAATTGGTTGAGGACAAAACCATAAATAAATAAATACAGTATAACCAATTTAGGCTGTGTTTAGTTCAAGCCAAAGTTTGGATTTTGGTTGAAATTGAAGATGATGTGACTGAAAAGTTGTGTGTGTATGACAGATTGATGTGATGGGAAAAATAGGAAGTTTGGATGAAAAGTTTGGATCTAAACACACCCTTACTAGCGTCTGAAGCTCGGATGAACATTTGACTTTGTTCGTCACACATAGCATCGTCATGGATGAAGTCTGTGTTCACGTCATCTTTGGCGCGTAGAATTTAATATCACAAATCATCATACCTGATATTTTCAGAGACTAATAAAAAATTTCTTCAGAGTATCGCCTTGACCTACCTATCTGATGGTGACAAGGTGGTCAAAAGAAGTGGCCCAAAGCACCAAATTCAGCTCATTGACTGAAGAAGGACATCACTGCTAGTCTCAACTTGTATCAAATCCTTGTTAAATCATCGAATGAAAAGAACATAAGCAATGCCAATTCAAGGATGGATGTGCATTTATCCACAAATCTTGAGCACAACATGGTGAACTTGATCCAGGAAATAAAAAAAAAAAGAATTGTCACTTGACACAGCTCTGATGAATCTGTGATGATGAGTAACACTCAGTATACTACATTAATTAGAATCAAATCATTAATCAAATCTCCAATCTGGAGTAACACTGCTAAACTAGAAACTAACCTGCATATCATACTGCTCATAAGCCACTAATCCTTAACCATCTCTGAATTCTGAACTTGCCTGAGAACTCTGAATACTGAACATGTCTGAAAACTCTGAATTTATATACAGTGGTGCAGTCACAGAGAGAGAGAGAGAGAGAGAGAGAGAGAGAGCTCAGAAGAATGGCGCGCCGAGCGGCTCCGTCTTCGCCGCCGGCGGCGGCGCGAGCATGGAGAGGTCGTCGGCCTGCAGCAGCGAGCCGAGGCCCTGGAGGTCGTCGAGGCTCATCCCCATGAGCCAGTCGTCGTCGCGCGCCTCCTCCTTGGGCAGCAGGGCGTCGTCGAACGACGCCGCCGGCAGCGAGTAGTCCATCTCCGGGAACGCGTCGCTGTCGACGACCTCCGACTCCGGCGTCCGCGTCTCCCCCCACGACTGCGCCGCCGCCATGGCCTCCTCCTCCTCCTTCCTGCTCTGCATCTTCTCCCACTCGTTCTTCTTGTTGTACAGCCGGCACAGCACCCAGTCATCCAGCCTGAGCGCGCCCGCGCCCGCGGCGGCGGCGGCGCCGCCCTTCTTGGCGAGGCGGTACTCGTGCATGATCCACTCCGTCTTGACGCCGCGGGGGGGCTTGCCGTGGTAGAACACGAGCGCCTTCTTGATCCCGGCCGTCCTGCCGTTGTGCAGCACGGGCTTGTCGGCGCCGGTGGCCTTCCAGTAGCCCGAGGCGGCGGCGCGGTTGGGGCGGGAGCCGTTGGGGTACTTGCGGTCGCGCGGGGTGAAGAAGTACCACTCGCGGCGGCCGAAGAGGGCGCGGTGGGGGAGGTCCCATGGGTCGTGGCGGTAGAGGTCGAGCTCGGCGATGATGGGGACCGGGGCGGCGCGGCCCGCGGCGCGCGGGCAGAGGTAGTGCGCCACCAGCTCCTCGTCGGTGGGGTGGAAGCGGAAGCCCGGCGGGAGGTTCAGGTCCGCCTCCGCGTCGCGCACTCGCCGCTTCGCCGCCGCCATGGACACGAGGTGTTCGATCTTGGGACTTGAGGGAATGAGGGTGGTGGGTTGTTGGATGTGAGTGGCGGCGGGGGTGGGAGGGAGATATATATAGAGGGAGGTGGGAATGGAGAAGATTCGTGGGAAGGAGAGGGGGGGTCGAGGTGGATATGGGGAGGGTGGAGGAGGAGGAAGAAGCACTGCAGCGGCATATTCGGTCGTCTGTCTGTCCTCTGTCGGTTACTCGGTTGATGTTCATCTGCTTTTTTTTTACCTTTAATTTTAAAAGTTAACCGTTCTAAAATTTGTTTTAAAAATCTAAACCTTTTTACAATGTTAGCCTGCTTACGCGTGGCAAAATAATACCGTCACACTCACAAAGCCCGCAATGGTTGTGATAGTTTTGTCATGTCACGGTGACATAGCAGGACAATATTGTCACGCCAGCTAGGGGTGAAAGCGGTCACGGAAATTACCGATCGACCGGATGTCGTTTTCGTTTAAGGGGTACTGTTTCCGACCGTATCGATTTTGGCTATTTTTAAATTGAGTAAAGTCCATCACCGGTCCCTAAACTTGTACTGCTGTGTCATCCCGGTCCCTAAACTCGCAAATCGACCGTTCAGGTCCTCAAACTTGTTCTACTGTGTCATCCCGGTCCCTAAACTTGCAGATCACTCGTTTAGGTTCTCCAACTTGTTCAGTTGTGTCACCCCGGTCTCTAAACTTGGATTTGAATATCATCTGGGTCAAATAGGACGGTCTAAAGACTTTATATTTAAAAATAATTCATAACTTGTTCATATGAACTCTAATGAAGACAAACTTTATATCAAACTTGTAGCCCTCGACGCGATCTACAACTTTGTAGTTGAATTTTTTTTATTTTAAGTCATTTTTTTGTCCCAAAATGTAATTTTAAAATTAAAATTTAAAAATCTATAAACATGCAACAATATTTTGGGACCCTAAACAGTTTTAATTCAAAAAATTTTCAACTACAAAGTTGTAGGTTGCGTCGAGGGCTACAATTTTGATATAAAGTTTGTCTTCATTAGAGTTCACATGAAAAAGTTATGAATTATTTTTTATATAAAGTTTTTAGACCGTCATGTTTAGGGACCGGGGTGACACAATTGAATAAGTTGGAGGACCTAAACGAGTGATCTGCAAGTTTAGAGACCGGGATGACACAGTCGAACAAGTTTGAGGACCTGAACGGTCGATTTGCGAGTTTAGGGACCAGGATGACACAATAGTATAAGTTTAGGGACCGGTGATGGACTTTACTCTTTTAAATTTTATTTTTTCTAATTTCTTTCTGCATCGTATTAATGTAGATACTGAATACTTTAAATGATAAATATTGTCAATAACCGGCCTATCGAGCATCGTTTCCGAAGTGATGCTATCGATTCCGACCGTTTCCGATCGTTTTCACCCCTAACGCCAACCATACCGACATGGCCAAATAGCATTGTCACACTATTTAGACGAGCGTGGTAATGGTGTTTTACCACACTAACCCGCCTGGCATGATCAATAAAATTAAAGATTTTTTAGGTTATAACTGTTGTATCAAAATATGAGGATTCCTACAATGACTCACATGATTCCAATCACTTCAATAATTCTAAATCCAACCACATGCTTGCAAAGGAAATCTAGGCAACTAAAAATTCAAACATTGACAACTGTAGTGACTAAAAGAAAATCATTTGATTTAACCATGGTACGTGCTAAATGACCTTACAATTCTTATTTTATCTAACAAAGGGAATAAGTAGTAGTACCAGCTAATAATTAATACTCCCTCCGTCCCTAAATGTTTGACGCTGTTGACTTTATTTAAATATGTTTGACCGTTCGTTTTATTCAAAAACTTTTACAAAATATGTAAAACTATATGTATAAATAAAAGTATGTTTAACAATAAATCAAATGATAGGAAAAGAATTAATAATTACTTAAATCTTTTGAATAAGACGAACGGTCAAACATGTTTAAAAAGTCAACAATGTCAAACATTTAGGGATGGAGGGAGTATATTACTTCCTCTGTAGCAGAGTACTATTCTTCGTCTAAATAGTATATCCCTTTAGTTTAAATTTGAACTAGAGAAGTACACTCATTTTAGGACGAAGAGAGTACCAAATTAAGCACATCCGCTATCTAGTTTTTTAAATTTATTTTGGAACCGATGGGGTACGTGGGAGTAACGAACACCACAGCGAAAGCGACGGTAAACATACATGATGCGAAACCGCTAATTCGCATCACGTATTATATATATAGAGAGAGAGAGAGAGAGAAAAAACGAGGGAACAAAACCTACCGCGCGTACGTTAACGCCGATCGGCCGATCGATGTCTGGGTCGTTTTCAACTGTATAGTAGAGTGAGTGGTCTCTGGCGTGGCGGCACGTGCGGCCATCGCCTAATTTCATCACAAAAAGGAAAGAAGAAAGAAAGGCGACCGATGGAGACGTGGACGGGGGGTCGCGCGCGAACGTACGTGTGGATTCATCGAACCTGACTGACCCGACCCGATCGACCCGAGCTTCTGGACGCTTTTGTTATCTAGGCCGACGGCGACGTATACAGGCCTCGTGTAGTTTGCGAAAAAATAAATTTTAGGTTATACTTCCTCCTTCGTATTTTAATATATGAAAAAGTACGAATTACCTTTCGAACTATTACGGTCATCTGAATTACCCTCTTGAACCACAAAACCGGATATTTTTCACCCCGAACTATGTAAACCGGACGAATTACCCCCCTCGATCCAAACCGCGGTGGTTTTGGTCTACGTGGCGGTCCAGTCAGCAATTTATTTATTAAAAAATAGGTGGGCCCCACCTATCAGTCTCTCTCTGTTCTATCTCTCACTCTCTCTCTCTCTTCTCCTTTAGACGGCCGCGGCGGAGGCAGCAGCGCGGCGAGGGGAGGCGAGGAGGCGGCGGTGGCGGCGAGGCGAGGCGGCGGCGGAGGAGGCGAGGGGGTGGAGAGGCGAGCGCGTCGGCAAGGCGAGGCGGCGGCGGAGGAGGCAAGGGGGTGGCGAGGCGAGGCGGCTCCGCGTGGCCCGCGACACCACCGCTGCTGCCTCCTCCGCCGCACCCCGCCGCCGCGCTCGCCTCCTCCGCCGCAACCCGCCGCCGCTCGTCTCCTCCGCCACATCCCACCGCCGCTCGTCTCATCCACCTCACCCCGCCGCTGCTCGTCTCCTCCGCCGCATGCCGCCGCCGCTCGCCTCCTCCGCCGCCCCCGCCGCCGCTCGCCGCCTCATCCCCCGCCGCTCGCCTCCACCGCCGCCGCCGCTCCCTGTCGCCCGCCTACCTCCGCGGCACGCGTGAGTGAGAGAGAATGAGAGGAGAGAGAGAGGAATAGTTGGATAGGAGTATGACAGGTGGGTCCCACATTTTTTTAATAAATAAAATGCTGACTGGACTGCCACGCGTACGCCACGTAGAGCAAATCCACCACGGTTTGGGTCGAGGGGGGTAATTCGTCCGGTTTACATAGTTCGGGGTGAAGAATGTCCGGTTTTGTGGTTCGGGGGGTAATTCAGACGACCGCGATAGTTCGGGGGGTAATTCATACTTTTTCCTTTAATATATGACGCCGTTGATTTTTTAATAAACGTTTGACCTTTCGTCTTATTCAAAAAATTTATGTAATTATCATTTATTTTACTGTGACTTGATTTATCATCTAATGTTCTTTGAGCATGATATAAGTATTTTTGTATTTGCATAAAAAATTTGAATAAGACGAATGGTCAAACGTTAGTTAAAAAGTCAACGGCGTCATACATTAAAATACAGATGGAGTATCGGATATTAGAATGGATTTTTTACACGAATAAAAATACTAATTTTATAACTCGTCTGGAATCTTTTCAGTCTAATTAATCCGTAATTAGCACTTAGGCTCAAAAGATTTGTCTCATGATTTCTTCCCTAACTGTGCAATTAGTTTTTTTTAAATCTATATTTAATGCTTCACGTATGTGTCTAACAATTTGATGGGATGTTTTTAGGAAAATTTTTTTGATAACTAAAGCAGGCCATATAATTAATACTATTGGCAGCGATGACGTCAGTGCCGACTTCATCCACTCTTGCACGTATAATTAATTATATTATTACTTCTAGATTACTACTGCCCGGACGGGAGGTGATGCCATAGGCTACAGCAATGTGTGTAGGTACGTGGTTCTTCTGCAGCCATGGAAGTGTGTGGTCCGTTTGTGTGCATATTCTTTACCTGCTTTGCCGGTTGAATGTCGATGCAAAAGTTTTCAATTACGGATAGTTGTTCATGTGTACTCCTCTGTCCCTTAAAAACATAAATCTAAAATTAGATGTGACACATTCTAATACAAAGAATTTAGACAGAGACATATCTAGATTTATAATACTATAATGTATTATATTCAGTACTAGGTTAATTTTTTTATGGGACGAAGGGAGTGAGTGATCTTGAGAAGCATATATTGTTTACGGTATGTGGCACTTACATCAGGTGCCATATGGCAGAGGATATCAATATATGAAGCACTCCCTAGATTAATATATATTTGGGGGGGGGGTAAAATTGATTTTTTTAATGTATTTACAATGAAAGTTGACCGTGATAGCGAAGAAAGGAAAGCACACTAGCGCGGTAGCATTTTGTTTAACTCATGTTTATCCATGATAAAATGTGTAGTAGTAGTAGTATACTTGAACTTTTTGTTTCATTCTCATGAATCCGTGCGGCATCAAATACTCTCTCCATTCCATATTAATTAATCATCATATAAACATATAGAAATTTCAAATTGATCATCATATAAACCTGGTCCCTTTATTTGACATGCAGTATTATTATTGCATCTATGCATGTAAATTGAGTATCCATGCATACATTTAGGGATAGGTAAGCATTTGTTTCTTGTGCATACGAGGAGTTATAGCCTACATGTTTCTTGATTCTTTCCCTCCACATACTTAGATTATATAAAATGCATAATAGTTTTTTCTTCTTAGTGGAAAGACTTATATGATAACTAATATGAAATGGTTGGGGTACTAGCTACGGGCCTATACATCGCACATGATCTAGATCCACCAATCGGTACTACAAGTGTAACTGTACACACTTGCGTACGTCCTACTAGTAGCTAGTAGGTAGTAATTCTATGTCCTATAGAAACTAACATTTAAAGTTTTCACTAATATCCTGCAAAACATGTCATTCAACAATATAATCAAAGAAGTTCCCTAAAAAAAGAATTAATCAATAAAGAAGTGGGACCATATACTTCAAAAATTTTAAATATGCTAAAGATTATTTTGCCATGTGTCGTAATTTCTGTGACCATATAGCTCCTGCGTTCGAAATACAACATGGCAATGAGTTGTGGAAAGGATCGACTAATTAATTAATTACACGCGGAGAGATTATTCGTGCTCCTGTCAACCACATTGCACGCACTTGACCATAAAATGACAGCTGAGTCTTAGTAACCTGGTCATTTCTAGTAGGAAAACTAATTTGCCTCTAAAACCTTCTTACAACCGTCGAGTTTTGTGGGACGAAAGAAGTAGGTGAAGTAGTAGAGTGGAGCAGAAGATCCTGAGCCTCGAGGGATCAATGCGTGCATGCGACAGTGCTGACCTTTCCCTGTCGCCCTGTCGGTTCCCTGTTGGATGATGATTCCAGGTGATGAGAGAGTGGCGCGCAAGTAGCCGCCGCCTCCTTCCATAGCATATCCACGAACCACGATGGCCGTCCGTCAAGGGGAGCGAGGGGCCGCGGTTTATTGGCTCCGTAGTACGTACTACCTCCGTTTTAAAATAAATACAGCCGTAAATATTCCTCCCTAACATTTGATCATCCATTTTATTTAAAAATTTTATAAAAAATTCAAAAATATTTAGTTACACGTAAAGTACTATTCATATTTTATCATCTAATAACAATAAAAATACTAATCATAAAAAAATTTCAAATAAGACGAGCGGTTGAACGTTGAACGTGAATAGTGCAGAACTACACTTATTTTGGGACGGAGGGAGTACGAGCTAGGCAGCCGCGTGCAATTTTGGCTGTGTTTAGTTACACACTAAAAATGAAAGTTTAATTAAGTTTTTTAAAAAAATTGGAAGTTTATGTATGCAGAAATGTTTTAATGTGATGAAAAAGTTAGAAGTTTGAAGAAAAAATTGGGAACTGAACTCAGCCTTTACATTCTCTTTCAATGAACGAACGCTCGATCGCAGGTTGTTGACGGACGCATGCATTTCCACGTGCTGAATAAAAATCATACTCCAGCAATGAGCCTGCTGCCTACTTCGATGCGTCGCATATGGATATGGGCCATATGCAATGCAGTGCACCCCACATCGTTCCATATACGCACGGCGCACACCCTGCTAATTAATTTGGTCAAGCCTGACCTTTACTGCTCGTGCTAATACTAATATTCAGGCCCACTTCTATTCTTCAGCTTCAAGCACACTTAATTTCCAACTATTAGATGATACTTTTTTTTTAAAAAAAAAAATCTTTATAGAAGTTGTTCAAAAAATTTAAATAAAACCATTTTTCAAGTTTATAATTATTAATACTTAATTAATTATATGCTAATGAGATTTCTCGTTTCGTGTGTGGTACAAATCTTGCTCATCCACCTGTAATAGAACGAATCATAAGAATGTGTTCTGTTGGTTGATTTATCAATTCCATGCCCCAAAAAATTAAAAATAAAAGATAAAGTTCTATTTTATATTTTTGGTGCAAAATAAATTCGCATATAACATGGCATTAACCCCAGCTCACCACCATCCCTGTAAAAGGAAGAGTAGGAGGGGGGACGCCCCAACTCTCTCAATTCTAAAACCCTAGAACCTAAGTCGTCCGATCAACTGATGCGGGAAGAGATTAGTGAGGTGATCTATATAATTTTCTTTTGTTTTATTGACAGAAAAGCCAACGCCCTATACTTCTCCTACAGTGAGAAGAATTACGAGAAGATGAGAAAAGAAAGAACAAGAAGTAAATCAAAGTGACCGGCTTCAATGGCTTCATCCTCAAGTTAGCAGATAAATAAATTCTGCATTGAGTAAAAGTGATCATGTTTAAACTAAATCATTGAGATTATGTAAATTAGACTCAACACGTTCAAAACTCCATTTTAGTTTGGCTACTTCCTCAATTTTTGTTAGCACACATTTAAAATTGCTAAACGTTACGTTTCTTCTAAAAACTTCCTATATAACGAGTTGCTTTAAAAAAATAAAAAATATATGTTTTTCAAGATTTTAATAACTAATACCCAATTAATCATATACTTATCACGCTTCTCGTTTTACACATGGCTAATCATCCGTTCAAAAGCACTTTAGAATGCACCCTAATAATAGCATCTTCTAACTAAAAAAATTATCTCAAAACATATCAATTTCTAGCTACTTCAATCACAATCATCTCTCATTTAATTTCTCTATTTTTACTTTCTCATGTCTTAACTTATCACAAACTTTTCTCATTTAATTTCACATTTTCCCTTAATTTCCGTAAAAAAATACTTATATATTTTTAGATGGAGGGCGTAGTCCACTGTGATGCTACAATTTGTGATTTTAGATTTTCGGGCTTTCTTCATTGTTTTTTGTTACTCAACTTTTATATTGTTATGAAGAAAAGTAAAAGAAGATGACCTAAAATTATTATTAAAAAGAGTTAAAATCCAAAATTAGCTTGAAAAAAGCTGTACCAAATTTAAAAGCTACCTTTGCAAACATAGGTAGAGGGAGGAATAGCTTCAAATTAACATATTGTTTTTCAACGAGCATGCCAACTTCGCTGTGTTATAAGGTGAGGGTGGGGAAACTTCCCTTTCAGCATGAGAATCGAAACGATGGATTAGTGCACGATTAATAAAGTATTATAAAAAAACTCTAAAAATAGGTTAATAAACTTTTTTAAAACAACTTTTCTATATTTATTATTTTTATTTATCTTAAAAAAAGGCATATCTTTTAGTAGTTCGGTAAACGTGCGCGTGAAAAAGGGAGCGAGTTGCGAAAGAGAAGAAAAAACACACCCACCACTATATGTCTTCACCGTTGACAGCACGGCATGTACGCCAAGCTGCATCTTACATATGCCTCCTCAATATATATTCGGATTCCTTATACTTTTAATAAAAATCAGCGCATAAAAATCTCTTATACTACTGCAGATTCTTCAACTTTTTTACACCTAAAAGTCTGAAAAACCTTTTTGTCCAATGTAAAAACATGGGAAGAAAGGCTTTTACCCTCGTGGGATTCTAGACACTTGAGTACATGAATCCAAAAAAAAAAGGCAAATGGACCTTTTGGATTTAGTGAGCATAGGCGCAGACCATACACGACTAGATGTGGAATTTACACTTACATCTTCCCTAATTGAAAACCGAAAATTCCTTCTTGTTAGGTTGAATGAACCGTCAAACTTTCGTATACCAGTAGAGAACACAGTAAAAAGCATAATTAACTTATTACTCTAAACAAGTTTCAGATGCTGATCGACTCCAATTACCACATGGTTGGTCCACATGTAAATCAGAAAAGAGAGTAGCGTCGCCCAACACATATTTTTAACAGACATAATACTAGGATTAACACAGCAACTTAGGCAAGCAGGCAGCATCAAGTTACCAGATATGGAAGCTGCAGCTTCCAGATGCCTCCACTATCTAAGGCTCCTTTCATCTTGAAAGAATCAGCACCCAAAATTTCACACTAGATACTGCTTTTCACTTTTCTCAAGTTCAGAACGTTTTACATGTAAACAACGCAGAATCTTCAGATTTTCTTGGTATAGGCACTGAAAGAATAACCCAGTGTCAAAAGCAAAAGGTGATCTGATTTGGAGACAAAGATGGAGAGAGAGCCCCACACCTCTCAGATCTGGCACATTTTTCTTACCAACGTAGTACATGGTATCTTGTCTTCCAGAAGGGTTGGGCCCTGAGATATGTAGCCACCTTTGTCTTCCAGATGTCTGAGGCATATGGAAGAGGACATGAGATTTTGGATTAGTATGCAATCACATCAAAGGACTACACATGTAATTCATGCTTAGTGAAGACGACAGTGGAACAATGGACCTAAGCTTGACCACAGCAGCACCATTAATTCAAATGTTATTCTAGGATTTGACGATTTGTTACTGATTCTGCAGGAGCCTAAGGTGGATAAGTTACTAGCGAGAATGACCTGGCCAACTTTTGTTTTGATTAAATGTAAGATTATTCGTCACAAACTAGCATACCGGTTCACACAATTGATTATTCTTTGGTAGTATTGCCTGAACCATCAATCAACATATATGACCCTCCGTACACACAAAAAGACATTCCGCCATATGTAAAAGGTGGACTCCATTCTGGAACAGAGAATGGGTTTCGTGAAAATGCATTATTGAGCAATACAATGGTTGGTTTAACTCCACGAGACCTACAAAAAATCAAACTAACACCAGCCTTGAAATCAAATACAGTGTCATGTTATCTACCTATCCAATATCCAGGTGCTCAGCTGCCTTAATATAGAAATGCAGGAAACCTATTAGTAGCATTGAACTGACCGGGATGTTAAGGTCTATATAAACTCCTTGCAGTTCAATAATTTATTTTGTTTATATCAAAGATCTCGATCATGCAAAGTAATTTGTAGGTACTTACAAAAATATTTTTTTGTAAATTATAGGTGAGGTGTTTGATTAAAAAAAATTATAAGTGAGGGTTTTCTAATGTTAAAAGGCTCTTCATAATTTTGGTTGGTTCTGCAGTGTAACATCAGTAGCATGTAACAACTAGTTTCACTACAAATGGATTGCATCAATGTCCTCTCCAAAAGAGAAAAGAAAAAAAAATATTTGGGAAAAAGATCGGAAGGGTGTGAATTGCATGCACTGAGCCACTGACTACTCCACTACCAGCAATACTATTTCAAAGCTTGTGCCATTTAGTATTGAGATACCATACAAGCGCCAGACAAATTATTAAAGAAAAGCTTCATTGGTAAATGATGAGAAACTAAGCAACTGACAAGGATGTGTAAGATCATAAAATTGGGGAGATTAAAAGCATGACAGCAAATCTGAAAGTTCTATCAGGCTTAACATTTGTGATTGTCTCATGAAATGTTTGATACGAAGAAACAAAGTACATCACTGATGTGCGTACGGCGTACCATCTAGTGCCAGAATGCTAGGACCACAGCAATACTGAAAAGTATCAACAAAGCAACATTCCCACCAGGCAAAATATCTTCACATGAACCAGACGATCTGTATGAAGAAACATACACAAAACTGGTCATTACACACTAAAATGATAATATGTCGAACACTAAATCATAGAACACCAACAGTTTAGAAACTCAAGTTTTTTTTGTGTTACTGTAGTTTTATAATATTTTATATTACAAAACATAACATCATTTAATCATTTTAAAAAAACATGTCTTGCATCTGGAACCAATGATCCTATGTCACATATATTGCATCATGTTACTCACACACACATAAGATAAGATGTGAAACAAAGTCAAAGATATCTCTGGTTTGCCAAGAGAATGAAAGGGATGGATAGCTACTTAATTTTAGAATTATAAAGCTGGCTTGGTTGTTACTAATTCACACCAGTGACTATCATAGTTCTTGAAGAGTGACAGGTTTAAATCTAGAAAAAAGGTACAACTAATGTCTCGAAAACCATGTGATTGTATTGACAAAAGGAGGTGAAATGTCCTATCTTGAGGCTAACTTGAGTAGTAATAATGGTTTGTTACAGATGTGAAAAGAATGAGACACATGATTCACAAAGAAAGTACATCAATAGTGATGTTAAGAATGATATTTTGAGCTGGAGGTTGTGGACAGGCCCAAAAGCTCTGATCCTTGAATAAAATGCATGATTTAGTGCCTTCCAATGGTTTTCGTATTCAGTACATGTCAATCTTGCTTTCAATCCCTAATTGTTACTTTTACAACCTCTTTTTTAATTTCCTACTTGACCCAGTACAATATGAAATTTCAGTCTTGTATTTTGTCATAAGTTTTCTTAGTTACCATGCACCATGCTGCAGTTTTGCTAGACATTATCAAAGATTTTGTATAGTCATTCTAAGAATCATTACACATTATTTGAGCATTTCTATATCCTCCTTATTTGCTTCCGATTCATAATTGTTGCCTTTCTGACTATTTTTGTAATTTCCCACCAAACCTTTTCTTATGGTTCATCATGAACTTTTTGTAGTTACCATGCACCAGTTCCACATAGTTACACGGTCCAGTTCTTTTAGACATTGTACAAGATAAGGAGAATTTATACCAAATTTTCATAAATAATAATGCTACTGATCATCATACATTATTTGATCTGAGCTCTCTCTATCCTCCTTGATGGTTATCTAAATTTATATCAGATATATTGAGTTATTGACTAACTGCAAAAAGTATCTTCTAGAAGAGACATGGTCTAATGAAGTTACCTCTTTCATAAACTTTTGTTTATTTACCATGCACCAGTTCTGCATAGTTCCCATGTTGCAGTTCTGCTAATCATTATCTAAGATAAAGAGAGGCTGCTACCTGGACGATTTATATATAATCGTTCCACAGATCATTACACACTGTTTGAGCATCTCTCTATTCCTCCTTTAATTGTTTTCTGAATTTCATACTATAAGGCATATTGAAAACTGAAAAGTTTATCTTCTACTAGAAGAGACATGGCATAAAGCATAATTGATGTTACCTCTTTCTCTTCTGTGACCGGTGAATCCAGGCCATGACAGGAGGGAGGATCCCAAAAAGGAAGCAGTTTGCATAAACCCCAGCAAAATCCAGTGCCTTGGAGAAGGCCGCTGAGAAGAACGACGCAATAACGATAGGAATAATCAGCACAATCCATGTGAGAATAGCCCCATTTCTTCCATGGCCACCGCTAGATTCAGAGAGCTGCCCAATTCCTCGCTTCGGAGAAAACCTCTGCCCAATCAACTCCACTGTATCAGCCAGCTGCTTCGGAAAGCTCACCGCGTATCCTATCAAGCTCGTCGCCAATGCGGCAAACGCAAAGCCTCGAACGGCAGGCAATGCTGCTGGATTCACCGAGAGCAGCAGCTTAATTGGATCATCGAATCTCGCACCGCCACTGGAACTTGCCAACCCGAGAATGACGGCATTCCAGGACAACACCATGGCCAATGGGACGGCACCGCCGATCAGTATTGCGCGCCGCGCATCGTACACTGAATCCCCCACAATCTTGCAGATGAACGGCGTGATGACATGGAACCCAAGCGTCAGGACGGTCACCGGAATTGCAGGCAGGATGGTAGCAGGGCGCCAGCAGGCGTAGCCGAGCGATCTCAGCATGCTGCTCCGGCCGACGGAAACGCCGGTGACAACAAGCGCGGTGATGGAGGCGAGCATCAGGCCGCAGAGCGCGCGGTTGGCGCCGTCGACGGCCTTGAAGGGGAAGAACGCGATGAGCGTCCCGGCGAAGCACGGGAAGATGGCGTTGGCCAAGGCCGGATCCACCGCCGGGAAGAGCTGGGACACCAGCGAGCCGATGCCGGCGACGCAGGCGACGAGCAGGGAGAAGCTGAGGGCGGCGTAGACGACGGCCACGACCGCCCCGAGCGTCGCCCCCAAGGTGCTCGACGCAAGTCCCGTGAAGCTGACCTCGTCGACGCCGCCGTCCTCCATCGCGGCGAAGCTGAGCTCCGCGACGAGGACGATGGAGGACACCACGTAGACCCACGAGAGCACGATCGCCGCCGTGGACGGGACCGGCCCGGAGCGGATGGTGGCGGACGGCAGCCCCAGCATCCCCGGCCCCACCGCCGTTCCGACGATGAGGCTCACCGCCGCCCAGAAGCTCTTCTTCTCCCCTCCACCGGATACCCCGTCCTCGACGAGCGGCGCCGGTGATTCTTCTTCGGCGGCGTCGGCGTCGCCGTAGTCGCTCCGCCACCGCCATTGCCGCCTCGGCGACAGCCAGGACAGCGGCAACGGCTGCGGCTGCGGCGGCGCGGGGTTCTTGGAAGCTAGTGGCGGAGGGCGACGCGTTCGTGGCTCCGGGAGGCCGAGGCGGCGGCGGCGGCGGAGCGGAGAGGGGCAGGTTGCCGGCGAGGAGGGCGTGGCGAGGTGGAGGCGGCTGGAGAGTAACATGGTCAACGGTAAATTTTGGTAGGGTCAAAGGAGGCGGGTGAATTCTGGGCCTCTTTTACCATTCGAGGCCCAGTTTTTCAACATACGAGTTTCTAAAACATTTTGGATTGGGAATTTGAAGAATGAATAATAATACGTAGTACAAACTGAGCGGATTCATGTAAAAAAATACTGTAAAATTTCTGCGTCCTAATGGAGCCTCAGCAAGGCCTTGGAAGATTTGGGATTAGAGAAATTAATATGGCTGAATTTACGTTTCCATTGAAACGGAAGAATTTTAGTGAATTTTCATTATCATTAGTAAGTAGTTCAAGTGTTCAACCCATGCAAGAATCCTTGAAAACAATCCTACGGTTAACGCGCTCCACTTGTGATGGAGGAATTTTGCAAAAATGAAGTAATAAAGCCTCGTAGTGATCGATTGAGGCTACCAGTTTGGTGTGTTAAGGCCATTCGCACTAGTTTGAGGAGCTGAGACTACCACATAGGACGAAGACACGGAAAAAATAATACTTACCACAAGTTTCACAGTTCTTTGTGAAAGTCATTCTCTCCTCCATCTCCGACCGCCGCTCTTCCCCCCTTCTCCCCTCCTCTGGTGGCTGCCGCTCCCCCTTCCTCCTCCAACCACGCCTCCTCTTTCTTCTTCCGGCCGCCGGCCACCGCGCTACCCCACTGGGTATGCGCCTCACCTCCTCCATCTCCGGCCGCCGCGGCTCCCCCACTTCCTCCGACCGTGCTCCTCTGGGGTCGCCGTCACCATCCGCACCGCGCCCGGAGACGGAGACGAAAGGAAGGACGACATGGCGGTCGCGGAGGAGGAGGTGACGTCGTCGGCGAAGATGGTAGAGCATGTACTCGCCGTCGACGACTTCACTCGCCAAGAATTGATCTCTGGCGAAAGGCAGCGAATGGGTGCTACCAAACCTTAGGGATGGCAGTGGGTCGGGTCGGGCACGGGCAGAGCGATTCCATGCCCGACCCGAGACCCACATGCCCGTGCCCGACCCACGCCCGCCAGCTCTATCGGGCAAAACTCCATGCCCGTGCCCATGCCCGACGGGCACGGGCATGCCCAACGGGTACCCACTGGATACCACAAAGTTAAAAACAAATTTAATCACAGCAAAACCACATGTACACAACACAAAATTTCAGATCTGGCATTCACATACACAAAATCACAAATATACATACACAAATACTAAGATACACATACACAACATCAATTTCAGAAAATGCTTGCCGTCATCTGTGCACAGCCACCGCCGTCGTCTCTGCGTCACCGCGCCGCCCCTCCCGTGTGCCGCCGCCGCCCCTCCCGTGCGCCGCCGCCGCCTGCTCCCTCCCGTGCGCCGCCGCGCCGTCGTGCCACCCCTCCCGTGTGCCGTCGCGCCGTCATCTGTCCGCCGCCGCGCCGCCCCTCCGCGCCACCCCTCCCGTGCGCTGCCGCCGTGCCACCCCCTCCCGAGCGCCGCCGCCGTGCCGCCCCCCAAGCACCGTCGCCTCTACCTCCGCCTCCCAACGCCGCCCCCTCCTGAGCGCCGCCCCTTCCTGACTCCTGTGCATGGTGCGCCATGCCGCCGCTAGACAGAGACAGAGAGACACGGGAGGGAGTGAGAACTGAGAAACTAGGGTTAGGGTTAATAAGTTGTGAAATATATACCATCTGATAATGGGCCAATGGTTGGGCCTAACTCCTGAGGAGGGATGTTAAACTACAGGCACATTTTCGGGTCGGGCATGGATTATCCACGGGCGAAATGTAAAACCCGGCTGTGCCCACTAAGTTAGCTGGTGTCGGGTCAGGCGTGCCCACGGACAAAATAACGCGCCCACGCCCATGCCCATCGGGTCGGGTATCCGCGGATACCCGAGCCCGTGGGCATTACTACCATCCCTACCAAAGCTGCTACTGTTTTGGCTCCCTGGTAGGCCCTCCCCCTCGCCTCGTTCTATCTTTCTCGCACTAGCTAACAAATCTCTGACGCATTTTGACAAGGAACACGTGACTAACTTTGGATCCACGTTCCTCATCTGGGCACGGGAGAGACCGACGTGGCTGGGAATATTCGAGTTGAAGGGCTGAGGATGAATGCCAGCGGTGCTCACTATAAATGCCCTTAGTGATCTCGTCCAATTATTAAAAAAAAAATCAAATACTCTATTCCTAAGTACAACAAAATCAAATCGTAAACAAACTACTAATAAAACATGGGAACTCCAATTCAGTGACTTTGTGCATGTTGGCCAATTGATTTCTCTACTCTTAAGGGTTTGAATGAATTTAGGTAATATTTTTCTCCCATTCCATATAGAAAATGAACTAATTCGTACAAAATTCAGTTAGAACACTATACACTTGATCATCAACATTGTGATATCTCATTAGCCGTATATCCATGAAGATCGTCACCGACTAAGTTGCAGTTAGTGGCCAAAATAATATCTACATTTTGGAGAGAACTCGCTCACTGTTTGCTGCCCAGATGCATCCATCAGGGCCATTTCACTCTGCTATGGAAAGATTTATGCATCCACAACATGTTGTAATAATAGCTTAGGCAAAATGATATTCAAAGCCTAAGATGAGAAATCAGGATTTATGTCAGCATACAAGAAAGCATTATATCCACCCAAAAATTTCCAAAGAAATTAGCTTTGTCCATCCATGTCCAGCACATCATTAAGCATGCGTGACCCCAGTACTGCCACTCTATTTCACAATAATACAAAAGATCTTGTTTACAATAACATAAAAGATAACATTAACAGTGTAGTCTGCATATGACATTCTGGACATGATACACAACCAAATAGTGTACTCTGCATCACAACAAGAATCCTACTGGCAATGTGAAATCAAGCCACCAATTCACCCAAAACAGAACTAACCACAAACATCACATGCATTGCTGCTACACCGCAAAGATGATACATAATGAACAAAAACTGAACCATGCGAAGTAAGCTGAAAAATAGTTAACAAGCGCAATGAACAATCCATAGCAACACCCAAAAGGCAAAACTGCATAGTGCAAACATGACCATAGCTGGAATGAACTGATCAAAACTTTTCGCGGCACAACAGAGTATATCGATTGGATGACAGCCAAAATTTCAGTGGCGATAATAGTTTGTAAACTAGCATACATCATCATGTATGTGGCATGCCTCACTGTAAACTAACAGACCAAAAAAGAATTCCGATACAAGAAAAGCACCTGTTCATCTACTGGCAAGTGCAAGCATGGGTGAAATCATCCCTTGGATCCCCTGCAATGTGTGCTGTATCTGAATCTCCTCTGCAGCCATCCTCTTAAGATTTCTAACACAACCCCTTAGGTTCTCATCTGATCGGATATCATCCGCGCGCATCTCCAGCACCTTGTTTGCCACCCCCATCAAGAACCTGGCATACCTTGGCAAGGTTGCATTTCGGTGCAGGAACAGCAGGAGAAGAACGAGTTCTTCCGTGTCCAAGTTCTCGATGCATCTGACCAGCTTTCTCCTTGAAACTAGCTCCTCCATCACCGCCACTATGCTCCTTGGATTGTTTCGAGCTAACGCTGAAACTAGAGCATCCTTGTGCCTGAACTTCCTCAGCAACTTATCGTGTTCAGCAACCTTCACCTTCTTAGGCTTCTCAATCACAAGGTCACCTTCCTTAGCCTTCGCATTTTGTCCACGGAGGAAGTACCTATAGTTGGACGGTGCCAACCGCCGCTTCTCCGGCTTGGTTGGTGCCCAATCAAGCTCACCACCAACACCCTTACCCTCTTCCTCGTCCTCCCCTGTCGACTTCTTTTTCCTCCTACCCATATAAATTGTGCCCTTTGAAGATCCAGCAACCAGCACTGTCCCACACGGCGAGCACGCCAAGGAAAGCAATTCCTTAGGATATCGCATCGAGTGCGTGAGCTTAAGCTCGCCATAATCAAAGCTCTTGACATAACCATCACTCCCCGCGCTAAGCAGCCGCGTCTCGCCGGTGTTGGTCATCTTGGCGAGCGCGAGGGCCATCACCGTCTTGACATGGCTCTCCACCGAGTGGAGAAGCCGCCCGCCACCAATGACATCCCAAATCCTGACGACGTTCCCGCCGGCTGTCGCCAGCAGCCCGCCGGACGGCAGGAACAGCACGCTCTCCACCAATTCGCCATGGGAGAAGGACAGCGTCGACGTCTTCCCCATGCGGGCGTCCCACAATTTGACGATGCGGTCGTACGAGCCCGTGGCGAAGATGTTGTGGTCGGCGGGGGACGCGGCGCCGGCGCGGATGTAGTCGCGGTGGGCGGCGGGGGCGGCGAACACGGGCGTCTCGGATGGCACGTCCCAGTAGGCGAGGAGCGCGTCGTCGCCGGCGGTGAAGAGGTGGACCTTGTCGCCGCCGGCGACGGGGTAGCGGACGACGCGGGTCTCGGCGGTGTGGGCCGTGAGCGTGCGGAGCGCGCCCGACGACTGCTTCTTGTCGGCGCGGAAGACGCGGACGACGCCCTTCTTGTCGCCGACGGCGAGGAGGGAGCCGTCGGAGCGGAAGGACGGGGAGAAGGCGACGTCCTGGGAGGCGGGGATGCGGGGGAGCGGGGAGAGCGGGTCGCCGGAGAAGAGGAGCACGGAGGTGGACAACGAGGCGGCGAGGGTGGGGGCCGACGAGGGGGAGAAGGCGAGGTGGGTGACGTTGAACTCGTTGGCGGGGGTGAGCTCGGAGGCGCGGAAGGAGCGCCAGTAGGAGGCCTCCGGGGAGAGGCGGGAGGGCTTGCGGCCGGAGGGGAGGAGGGCGGGGTTCGGCGCCGCCGGGAAGAAGGGCTTGGAGGTGTCGGCGGCCATGGCGGCGGCGGGGGCGGCGGCGGCGAGTGAAACCCTAGTTTGTGGGGGAGAAGTGGGGGAGAGGGGGTTTATGGGTTTTGGACTTTGTTGCAGATGGGCCGTGGAGTGGAGGAACGAGTTCTATAGGAGAAATGGCGATGGATGGACAGGGGAATTTTACAATTTGGCACCTGTTTCTCCCTCTTACAGTATGCCACCGAGAAGTTTGAAAATTTTTGGAAACTACTCGCAGGAGATGAAGTTCTTTTTCTATATTGATACCAGAAAATATACCCGTGAATTGCAATGAGGGAAGGCTATTTTAATCTTATTATTGTTATATGATTTAATTAAGGTGAAATTTGCTGTGTTAAATTCGCTTGGATATATTTTTTTTATAGAAAATTATGAGCTGCAATTAAGAGTATGATCGTCTCTAAATTAGCTTATGAGTTTTTTTAAAGAGATTTGTTATAAGATTCATTCTGTATTTCAAAAGCGAATGAACTTTTAAAACCGACTCCTATACGGATGACGTATCAAAGTACCGGCAAAAACATCTTTAATTTTTATAATAGTAGAGATAAATAGTATGGAGAAAAAGAGAAAAAAAGTTTAAAATGGAATAGTCAAAAGAAACAATCAGATCTATTTCTCTCTACTTGTCTATTTTTCTTTCTGTTTCATAGTCTTATACGCAATCATTTGCGTATGAAAAAAACAATTTGGCCATTTGGGGCATGAAACATTTGTGGAATATGAGAAAAAAAGTGCAACATCTGGATATAAAAATGAAACTTTTTGAGAACTGGCATATAAAATAAATAAATAAGTTAAAACACCATTAAATTCAAATTATAACATATTGGTCTCACACACGCTACGTATAGTTGCAACGTTGGAATCATCAATATATTTATAGAGAATACCTTCTTCCTAACCAAACGGTTTGAGCCCAAGATCGTTTTCTTTGAAAACAGAGGAAAAACAAGAAACCACAGTCCGACATAACACAACTTGGACCCCAATGTCACTATGTAGGGCGACATGGGCAATGACCAAACTCACTCTACCGCCAGCCCTCCTCCCGCCATCCCCTTCCTCGTAACCGCCAGAGCATGGCAGCAGCCGTATGTGCAGCTACAAGGACGGTGACGGCGGGCCTCTAATCTATCGTTTTCCATTCCTCCCCATCCTCGAGCTCCGTGAGGCCACGACCCCTATGATGACGATGGTGATTGTGATAGGGATAGCCAGATCTGGAGCCACCTCGACCGGATACAACATCTCCCTGGATAGATCCGGCCTAGATCCCACATCCCTGATTAGATTCGTGCGCAGTGGAGGTATCGAAAGAGGCGAGCTCGACAAGCAAATGTGGTGACATCGGTGGTTGGGTGGCATCGGTGGTCAGATGTATGGACTATGGTGGTGGCATGCCTGAGTGGGAGAGGCCAGCGAGGATTGGTCGGAAGAGGCGGTGACTTCTCACCTAGACTTGTTGTCTCCGTCGACTAGATCCGATACGGGACGACGGTCTAGAACGAGGAAGGCTGGCGAGGGTGTGCTTAGTGGGTAGGCGGGGGCGAGGTTGGCGATTGGGCGGCTCAGACAGTCATAGTGGAGATGGCGGTGTGCTTGAGGGGGCGGCATCTGATATGGAGGCAGCCCATGAGGAGGTTGCTGAGGGCCTATAAAGGGGTGTTGATGTGGTGACTATGTGCTGGTGGTGGTCGACTTGGTGCAAGGTAGCTATGATGATGGGGGGAGAAGCCTCTAGGTGAAAGCCTAGCTCGTATTTCTATGAGCTGGCAACGATGACGTTTTGGGCATCACAATCCCTCGTGGGGGTGTTGTTGAGATGTCTCTTTCCCTCCCTAGCAAAGCACTTTGGATGAAAACCTTGCCCAAGTTCTCTTGGGTGGGAGACGGCAATGCTCTCAGTGTCAAAGCCTTACAGGAGGTGTCATCTTTGGAGGCCCAACTCTGCAGTTCCTTCCTTGGGGTATCTGTTCGCCTAGGACAACACTCTTCAAAGTTACATGGCGGTGGACATGTGCGATGGATGAGCGAATCTTTCTTCTATGTCGCCCTCTCTCTCTACACTCTTAGGCTATGGTGATGACTGGGAGCCTTGTTTTGTATGGGGTGGGCGATGGGTAGTGCTTTTGTGGCCCTTGCTCTCCTGGCGACGAGCGGTCACGTATAGCAGTGGTCAGCTTGGTGCTGGATCCCTTCCTTGTGGTCAGGTGTGAGGTTGTATCTGGCACATGGTATCGTTTGTTTCTTTTCTTTTTCCTAGTTATAGCATCCCAGGGCTTTATAGTACAACATTTTATAGCAAAAGTTGCATTCAATGAAATCACAATATTTAAAAGCACATCATGGAACCAGGGAATCATGCTTACTCTGTCTTCAGCAACATTTTTGTTGTGAACTCTCATCTATAGTGCAAGCGATCCAGAATGTCCAACCTGCATAACAACATTGCTGCTCCCAGATCTAGCCATATAGCCACCAAATATTGGATATTAGGATTGAGAAGCATGGGAAAATTAGCCCTCGCAAGGCGGTAGAGAGGATTTCTACAATTGTGTTTTTGTGTAGCTAACAATTCAACCAGGCAATCTCTCCACTTTAGGCAGATATGTGAAAATGTCGAATGATGCCTGCGAACCACTGAAATGGTGAAGTGCTGCTGAAAAAACAAGTAGAAAATGCTGAAAGATAATTATCCACATAGGTTTCATGCAACTGGACATTGAACATCTGAAATACACCACCGTAAAGAAACCAATTACTGGTGTCTATTCGGCAATGTTTTTAATGCAAACTCTAATGATAGTTTCATAAACATGGACATGTACAATGGTTCGATCATATATAACTAGATAATCTCTAACATGTGTTCTTGTTAATCATATAAGTTTAGCAATTATTGTTATAAAAACCGGTACCTTAAACTACATCGGAGACCAAACGCGGAAGAATGCCATAAAAGATCCAAACTTGATGACAATTCTGAGGTACGATATTTGTTAACATAGTTAAGTGGAAACCTTGATCTACCGTCGACAGCCATCCCCTATTGCATATGTTAAATCGTCATGTGGTTACAACATGCATGCCTCTCTATTTAAGAGAGAGCATAGGTCAGAATCCGACTCTACTACTAGCCTAATACTTAGCATAACTCCAAACCCTAAACTGTAACGACTTTGTGCACATATTGGATAAAAACTCTAACCATTATCACAAACAATTTATGATGTCAAGCTAAATCTTAGACTCTGAAATGGTTGTCAACCTTCAGAGATTAAGGGCTTAGCATTGGCGGCTTAGCATTGGCTCTTTTTCAATACCATTGGAATACTCTAAAATAAAGTGTTACAATGATATCCGTGTGCTTACAAATTTATATGTGAACGTAACAAATCCCAAAAGGGGTGGAGGGCCGGCTGGGATTTTTATTTATTTTTATTTAAGTTGGGGTTGAGAAGACCTATAAGTTATCTCTAACAACACTCAAAATTATGTCCGTTACATATGAGAGACAATTATCGGTAACGGGCTTAGAGCCATTACAGATAGGCTCATCAATAACAGCTTCTTCTTTTTTTTAGATAATGAATCAATAACTGCTTCCTAACTGAGCCATTGCAGATAGGGTGGATAATGTCTGTAACGACTCCTCATCAACTGTCCATTACAGATGAGTGTTAATCCTAATGGTTCAGATGCCACCCGTTACAGATATGTGATTTGTAACAGATCGTTATAGATGTGAGCTAGGGTCGTCTATGCTAGTGCACGTAGATAGAGAAGATCCATTATATTTGTACCAATGGCCACACAGTGAACTCTCCTTCACATTCAGGAAAACACACATTGGGAGTTTCCAATGGAAATGGCAAGCATATGGAACTTCCAGAAGAGAAAGATAGCAGTGTTGCTCTATCAGTTAGTGATACCCAAATTGGGTCTGAGCAGTTAGGGCTGAGAATCACCGGGAAATTCACCCTCACCGAATTATTATTTCCAGTATAGTTGTTGTCCATAGGTAGGAGATGAACCGTAACCGTCCGTTAGGGATGAATCGAGGATATTAGAAAGAAATTTTTGTTGGCCTCAAGCGCCCATTTCTGATCCTAGACTATTAATTCCGTTCTATCGAGGTTGTAGTGATCTTCAGATTGTTGGTTGTCTGTCAACAGTCATAGGCTAACAATATCTGGGATCTTGAATACTATAAGCGCAGTTGTACCATTAAGAATTATGCACAAAGTGGTAGCACCCAGATTCAAAATAATACTACCTCCATATTTTAATGTATGACCCCGTTGACTTTTTATCTAACGTTTGACCATTCGTCTTATTCAAAAATTTTATGTAATTATCATTTATTTTATTGTGACTTGATTCATCATCAAATGTTCTTTAAGCATGACATAAACATTTTCATATTTTCACAAAAAAATTGAATAAAACGAATGGTCCAACGTTACTTAAAAAGTCAACGGCGTCATACATTAAAATACGGAGGGAGTATATAGTTAGTTGGAAGGTTGGACTCAAAGTAAGTTAAAACACTCAAGTAGGCCAGAGTATGAGAGACATATCTTTTATTTAGGTGACATATTTTTCTAACTTTTGTGGATGTATATCAGGATGTGAAGCACAAAATTAGCTGCAGCACATGGTGGGGTGCAATAATGCAGGTGCCAAATTACTTGGTCAGTTAACAATCAATCACACTCAAGAGATGGAGCACAAGAAACAAAACTCAACGCTTGGGAAATGCTATTATAATCAATTAATCCGAATTCCGTAAATTACTTGTTAATTCCCAAATTATTTTCTGAAATATACTATAAAGTTTCTTGATTTTTTTAAGATGCATTAATTTGACATATTCTTAAGTTTGGTCTTTATTACGTGCCATGAATTTTCTATATATATATTGTTCCGTTGAACCCTCTATGCCAATAACACGTCCATATTGTTTTTTCCAAGACTTCACAACCACGAAGAACTCGAATTCATCCTCAATGCGAGCCAATCATGCATGGATTTCAGGGGTGAAATCCGTGTGCTGCTTGGCATTCCAATTCTCTTGAAGGCCTCATCTACTTCATCGCTGTATCGCCGACCAGCTTGATGGTCTTGCTACTAGATCTCGACTAGATTGCAGTCCTGTAATGTGGAAGGGGTGTGCTCTTGGATCAACACAAAAGAGTCTTCAAAAAAAAGATTAATAGCTGAAAAGGAATTGGAGAGCAATTCATTTCCCCACAGTATATCTGAATTGAATGTCCAACAGAATTCAACTCGGCCAATTCAGATATCCAAAACGAAGCCTAAAGCATCATGCATGTAGGTGATCTTAATAAGCGAGTAACTCGAATACATAGAGATCATGCCAAATGTAAAAATATAAAAAATCAAGGGAGCATTTGTAAAATTTGTTGCAGATTCATCCACTGCTTTGTTCTAACACCTCCAATTGGTCTACTTTCCAACTTCAACATGAAGCTGTCAAAGAACATGGTTTTTTGATTCCAGAGAGCCAAATCATTCCGTGTGCGCGGCGGTGCACCTAGGGGAAGTTTCAAGAATTGCAGTCCAAGATTATTGTGAATCCAGGAGCACTTTCTGGCACAATCGATGAAGCACGAAACTTGGTCAAGGTATCAAATTATGATCCTACACATATCATAATTTGATCGATGAACACATATCATACATACTTGGATCATAATTGTTACATTTGAACGTAGTGTTGTGTGCGTACGGAAAGATGAGTAAAATTTGGATTGGAGTCTAAGTTTGGGAAGATTGGAGTGTGGAATTGTATGGGGATGTTCTTTCCCAGGTATGGTAGGTTTCCTATATATGTGATCAGGAGTCCTAGTTTTAGTTGGATTCATGGTTAGGAGTCCTAGTTGAGGCTAGAAGAGATCTATTTTTCTGGAGATAAAAGTTAGGGTTTGATTCGAGGTTTCAATCCTAGTTCGTGAGTTGAGAGAGGTGTACTTCAGATACACTTTGTAAACACATATTGATGCAATAAAGTTGATATACTTTCAGGAAGCGGTTTGATTGGAGTTCATTGGGCAGTCTAACCGGTGGCTTAGCGATGGTCTAACTGGCGTAGAGAGGCGGTCCAACCGGCGGCAAGGCGGCGGTCAGACCAGCGGCTATACTGTGGTCAGACCAGAGATCTGACAGTCAGACCGAGGTACAGTGCAATTTTGTCACGCTTGAGGGTAATGTTTTAATTGTGCAAAAAGATTTGTTTTTAGTGTTTCTACCATTCACCTCCCTTTGGTAGACTTGGTTCTTGTATTCGATCTCACAAAAGTTTTGTAGTACTGCAATTTATAGCGAAAGTTGCATTGAGTGAAATCACAATATTTAAAAGCGCACCATAGGAGCAGGGGCACATGCTTATTCATTCAGCAACTTTTTTGTTGGGAACTCTCATCTGAAGTGCAAGCAATCTAGAATGTTCAACCTGCATAGCAACATTGCTGATCCACAGCTCCAGCCATATATATAGCTACAAAATTTTGGATTGATGTTAGGGTTGAGAAGCATCAGGAAATTAGCGCTCGCAGCGCATTGGGGGCTTCTACAGTTGGGTTATTATTGTGTAGAGAACCTTTCAACCAAGCCCGCCAGCCAGTGAAACGGTGAAGTGATCCGGATGAGCCTGTTAGAAAATGCTGAAAGATAGTTATCCACCACTGAGTTTCATGCGTCTAGAGATTGAATAGGTGAAATATGCCATCCTGATGAAACCAATTACTGGCCCTCACTTCTTGCCACACTGTAAACTCTCCTTCACATTCGTGAAACACACATTGAGAATTTTCGATAGAAATTAGAAGCATATGAAACTTCTAGCAGAGAAAGATAGCAGCACTGCTCTAGCCATTTGATACCCAAATTGGGTCTGAGCAGTTAGGACTGAGAATCACCGGGAAATTCATCCTCACCTCATTTTCATTTCCAGTAGGGTTGTTGTCTATGGGTAGTAGATGTTGTGCAATCATCCGTTAGTGATGAATAGAGGATATTAGAAACCAATAAATATTTGTTGGTCTCAAGTAGCCACATCTGATTGTGAGTAGCCTATGCCCTCTTTGTAAAACCTTTTGTGAAGATACTTTGCATTTTTTTTTTCACTGGTGAAAGAGCAAAGGAAGTCTGGGATCTCCTAGGCTTGAAACATATAATTGCTGATGCTGTGGTAGTGGATTGTGCGGGTTCAGCCATGTTTGCACATTTGCTGCTAATGATCAGTGGTGGAGCTTGACCCAAAATGCAGAGGGGGCCAATATTATGTGTTACTGAACACAAAACCTCTGTTTTTTCGTGTTTAATACGTAATACATTAGATAATTGTTCTTTTTATTAAACAAAAAAAATATTATGTGTTACAGAGCACACAACCTTTGTTTTTCATGTTTAGTAATCCCTCTGTCTCTAAATATTTGACACTGTTGACTTTTTTATACATATTTGACTATTCGTTTTATTCAAAAACTTTTATGAAATATATAAAACTATATATATTCATAAAAGTATATTTAACAATGAATCAAATGATAGAAAAAGAATTGATAATTACTTAATTTTTTTTGAATAAGACGAACGGTCAAATATGTTTAAAAAAAATCAACGGCGTCAAATATTTAGGGACGGAGGGAGTAATATATTAGTATATGATCGTCATGGACAAAAATAGTTTTGAGCAAAAGACACAACAGTAATAAGAAGATATTTCCCAATATATCGGTGGAAGAACAAAAGAAATATCTTCATAGGATAGAAAATATATCAACGCTTGGAGTTGGACAAATATTCCATTCAAAGGCTATGAGAAAATGAAATTGTCTAAATAATAACAGAAATATTAGTTAATTGGCGTTCGTGAAAAATATTAGTTAACACCATTAACACTTGGAGAACTGAAAAACACATGGGCTTGAGAGGTGTAGAGCAGAAGGCCTCGGGTCTCACTGGTGTAGGCTTGCAGGAGCTTATAGCAACGTCAGACAGTACTCTCATTTTGCCAGTGTCATCTTCAAGTTCACTCGTAATCAAAGAGTATGTGGTGTTCCTTTCTGTATTTAAATCAGCACTGTCAGGAGCCAGATTATGAAATGAAAATCAGAACAATGGACACACCATATAAACAGAGAAAGCCATTATATGTAAACCAATGGCCCTCATTTCTTGTCACACAGTGAACTCTCCTTCATCATTCAGGAAAACAAACATTGAGAATTTTCAATGGGAATTTGAAGCACATGAAATTCCCAGCAGAAGAAGATAGCAGTGTTGCTCTAGCCATTTGCATTTGATACACAAATTGGGTCTGAGCAGAGCAGTTAGGACTGAGAATCATCAGGAAATTTATCCTCACAGAATTTTCATCTCCAGGAGGGTTGTTGTCTGTGGGTAGGAGATGTTCTGTAACCATCCGTTAGGGATGCATCAAGGATATATATTAGAAAGAAATCAGTGGTGGAGCCACCACCTGGGCAGGTCGGGCTCTGCCGATGTCGTCTCCACTACGAACAGCTGTTGACACCTATTAAAATTAATCGATCACTGAAAAACGCTATTAGTTGTCCAGACTTGATGACAATGCTGGCTCCGCCACTGAAAGAAGTTTTTGTTGGCCTCAAGCCGCCATCTCTGAACTGGCTATTCCATTCCACCGAGATCGAAGTGATCTTCTGATTGTGTTTGTTTGTTGCTAATTGTCATAGCGCCTTGGCTTATCCCTATTGATGCGAGGCCATGTCTTGAAAGCTAACAACATCTGGGATATTATCTTGTACTCTTCAGTCTTCAAGATAGCGATCACCCACTGATGGAAGGTTAAGCTTGTGGTTGAGCCATTAAAATTATGCATAAAGTGGTAGCAGCCAGATTCAAAATTACAATTGGTGGAGAGATTGCAAAAAAAAAAAAGTAAGAGATTTTTTACCATATAACATGCCGATGCGGTACCAAATCGTCGCCATTGAGTGGATAGGATCCAACGGCTGTCATCACTGAGTATCGTGAGGCACCCACTTGTTCTTGTGGTGGCACTGCATTAGGATGTGGAGGTGGAAGGGTACTTTTGTACTATCGCATGGCTGATTCGGTCTCATCCACTTGGATTGTTTCATTTGACACCGCCTCTTTCATCTCCATCTCCGCGTACCAACTTTGCAGCCCCGATGTATAGCGAGCATGGTGTCTCCGCGGTGGCCGCCGTCGCGGAGAGAAGAGCGGGCGCACAACTGACGGCCCCGGACGAGCACGTCGAGAACCACAAAGCATGGCTCCGCCAAGGAGGAGCTCATATTTACTGAAACACTCAAGTAGGTCAGAGAGTGAGTAGAAACATATCTTTATTTTTAGGTGACATTTATTTTTCTAAGTTTTGTGGTTGTATATAAGCATGTGAACCACAAAATTATAAACTCATATTTACTGAAGCTACAGCACACAGGAGGGGGCAATACAGGTGCCAAATTTTGACCTTTTTTAGTCATTTCATATTATTAGTCATTTTGACCTTTTTCTATTCAATTTTTTAAAAAATTATAACAGCGTTTTCAACACAAAATAAATATATTACCAAAATATATTTAATGAAATAAAATTGGTATTTTGGATGTTGTTCTATTTTTCTATAAACTTGGTCAACTAAATTAAAATTGACTAAGAAAAAATCAAGACGACCTATAATATAAAGGTAAATTTTGCTTCAGGATACTCAAAATTTGTGTTATTTGTGGACAGACATAAAAAACGTGTCATTAATGAAAGATATCCTGAATATGATAATTTGCTATAGGATATATTTGGCTAAATTGGAGAGATAAATTCTTAAGAAAGACGGGAATGCCCCTAGAACCACATGTTTCAAACATGACGTTAGAGTAAAAATTTAGATGTCATCACCCCAAGTACATCATTAGCGTACATCATATTCCATCTTCACTCCAGTCTCAACTCAAAAGCTTTTGACTCTAGGGACATTCTTGTATTTTTTTAAAAAATTCTCTCTCCAATTGAGCCGAAAGTGTCCTCTAGCAAATTACCAGTGTTTTAGAGTGTCTTTCAGTCATGACATGTTTTTACAATGTCTAACAACAAATTATACAAATTTTGAGTGTCATGTAGCAAATTTTGCATAATATGAAGGGTCTGTTTGGCACAACTCTAGCTCCTTCTCCACCTCTCCTAGAGTTAGAGCTCAGCCAAACAGTTTTAGCTCCATCTAAAATGGGAGCGGAGCTAGGTGAGGCACACTCACAAAATAAAATAAGGAGGTGGAGCTGAGTTTAGATTGCTACACAACTATACTCCAGACCCAACTTCTGAAGCTAAATTTAGGAGTTGGTGCTTCACTGAACAGACCCGAAATGGAGGGAGCAACAGACAATCACACTTGTGAAGTATTCAAGAGATGGAACACAAGAAACAAAACTTTGAAATATAAGTATTTAATTCGAATTATGTAAATTACAAGTTAGTTCCCAAATTAATTTCTGAAATACATTATGTTTCCTGATATTTTTCAGATGCATTAAATTGACGATCTTCTTAACTTTGGTCATTATTGCGTGCCAAGAATTTGCTGTATATATTACACCGTTGTCAGTAACATGTCCATTGTTTTTTTTTCCAAGACTTCACAACCACGAAGAGCTCAAATTCATCCTCAGTGTGAGCCAATGCAGGGATTGGGATGCGTCAGGAATATGGATGTGCCATATCTTTGTCCTATCATCTCAGGTATGCAAATGATAGTGTGCTTCTGAGAAATATCCCAGCTTTTGCAAGAATTGCTCATTTGGTTAATTGCTCTGCGGCTGGGATATATACCCGTGCAGGTTCTTAGATGAACGGAGTTCCATAGACCTGTTCGTTCCGAGCACTCGTCCGCGTATGTTCTTAGGTGGATGGAGTTCGGGAGGCCTGCTTGCTTCCGAGCACTCTTGCGTGCAAGTGCTCAGAACCGGGGAAAATGGATGTGCCATATCTTTGTTCATCATCTCAGGGATGCAAATGATGGTGTGCTTCTGAGAAATATCCCAGCATTTGCAAGAATTACTCATTTGGTTCATCGCTCAGCGGCTGGGCTACAGGAAGCGGATTCACCTGACCACTGCTCTCAACCAAATTGTAGAGCTGTAGTAGAGGGTGTGCTCTTGATCCAATCAAAAGGGATTGGAGAGCAGTTCATTTCCTCTTCAGATTTTAATGGAAGGAAAAGACAATTTGTTTCAGTAAATTCAGAGATCCAAAATGAAGCTTACATATATGAGATCTTAATAAGCAAGTAAGTTAAATAGATAGAGGTTGTTAAAGGGAATATGTGAATGTGACGTGAGTATTATAGAATTTTCTCATCACTTGTACACGTTATGCAGTCTTTGAGCCAAAGTTAATACATACTGATGGAAAGGTTAAGCTGGTGACGACCCTTTAAAATTAGAGAAAATTCACTCTATGCCACGAAGCTTGCCCGATTCAACGATTTGCCATTGAAACAAATTAAATACACATAGTAAAATTGAAAAATGGATTTAAAAAAAATACTCTATGAAATTAATATATAGAAAGTTCTATAAAAGAATAGTGCTGAGCTCACCTGAAACATGCCCTTCAACTGTTGTATTTGCTAAAAAAACAATCCTAGTATTACACTATGGAATTAAGCAGGGACCATCTATATAACGAGTCATCTTTATTCCTCAGTAGTCGTTCAGTAATATTGTTGGTGAAAATCATCATCTGAACAGAAGCAATATAGAATGTCCAGCCTGCATAGAAGCATTGGTGCTTCAGTCATAGGTACCAAATATTGGATCTTAGGATTGAGAAGTATCAGTAAAGCCGTCATGACAGTGTTAGGGACTTCTACAGTTGAGTTATTGTGTAGATCCAAATTCTAGTCTCTACGCAGATTCGTGAACTCATCCTGAAAGTCCTCTTGACATTTATCCACCACAGCGATTTATGCAGCTAGACATTGATTAGGCGAAATACGCCATCGTGAAGAAACAAATTCCTAATGTCCATTTACAATGTTTTTACTACGATTATATATATGTCAGTCTCACAAAGATGGGCATGCACGATGGTTAAATTTAGATGGCTGATTAATCTCTAAGATGTGTTCCTGTTAATCTTCCAAGCTTTGGAATAATCACTAACGGTTTATGACTTCAAGCTAAATCTCAGACTCTGAAATGGTTCTGATAGAACCTTCAGATGTTATAGGGGTCAAGCATTGGCTGTTCTGTAGTAGAAGTGTGCAATAATTCTGCTATATATTATCAGATGTAAGGAATGTATGGAATAAACAGTATGAAATTTGTTTCAACAATTCATGCATATTACAAATGGACAACAGTTTCCGTGGACTAATAATGAATTCTCTAGTAAAAAAGTTAATGTTCAAGTTTTACACTATCAATCAAAATGCACACAGTACTCCCATTTTGCCAGCCTCGTCTTCGAATTCATTGAAAATCAAAGAGCTAGGAGTTAAGAAAAAAGAAACGTCAGGGTTTTTCAGTACTTATCATGAAACAAACAAATGATACCCGTGCTTTAATGTGGAACATATTGATAAATATATGTTAAATATTATAAAATGATAGATAGATTTGTTAAAATATTGCTAAAATATATGCTAAATATTACAAATACTTGCATGCCAATTTGTGGAAATTAAATAGATTACAAATGATGTTGCATGTTTGCATGGGGTTAAATATGTAGTTATTGCTAGTGGGTAATGATGTGACATGGTTGCGTGTTGAGATTTAGAGTTAATGGGCTGTAACTTTATAGAAAGTATAGGTCAACCCCTTCAGGATATAGATTATATATAAGAAGAAAGTCACAACAAACGACACACCACGTAATTATTGGAATAAATGGGCTAGGCCCAATTTAATTCAATTAAAATATCAAGAGCCCACAAGTAATGTTAGAGACAATAATACTGTCTTGAAAATTTAGGTGGAAGAACCTCGACTTAAATAGGGTGATATGGAGATTCACTGTTGACCAGTATAGGTGATGGTTGGACTGCCACGCGCGCACGTGCCAAGTGGGCCTCGGCCGTGGGCGTGGCGAGGCGAGGTGGCCGACCGAGCTGAGCCTGCCTGCTGCTCTTCCGTTTTGTAACAGATGAGAATAAAGTCACCATTAACAAATGAAATTCATTGTGTTATAACCTCCCCAACAAATGAGAGATTCATTGTGTTATAACATCCACAACAAATGAGAGATTTATTGTGTGGTAACCTTCACAACAAATGAGATTTATTTTGTGGTAACCATCACAACAAATGAGATTTATTTGTGTGTTAATGGAGATGTCTCTCTCTATATATAACGCAAGGCAGAGGCTCTCAAAGATTGTGTCTTCCTCCTGCTGTTGTTTCTTGGCGATACTCTCCTTCTGTTCCTGCGTTGTCTCTCTGTTTCCCCAGTTCTGTTCGTCCCGCATGCACGGGTGATCGGAACGAGCAGGTGCCTCCAAAACTCCGTCCGCTTGAGAACCTGAACGGGTAGGCGGGCGATCAAGTTTTTGGGTAACGCTTCAAGCGCGACTGCTCTGCATCATCTTCACCAACATATTGACAACCGGCGACAACAACAACACTGGAGACAAGGAGAAGGAGCCTCCCGTCAACACCAACGGAGGCAATACTGCCTCAAACTCCAGCGGAGGGCTATTTTCGGGGTATAACGTTTCACTATTACCATTCGTTCTTCGTTTCCTACAACTGTCAGTCGCAATATTATTGCGTTCTCTTATCTATGTTGATGCTTATTCTATATTAAACATGCTCATGTTGTACACATCTAGCACTGCCACTAAATCTACTCAAATTACAAATGTCATGTTTATTGTCTTAATATTTTAGATTAAAATATACCGAATTATGACCAAATTTCCAACAGTAAACAGATAACCTCCAATGACCCTCATTCTTGCCACATTGAACTCTCACTCACTTCCAAGAAAACAAACATTGAGAATCTTCACTGAAACTTTGAAGGCATCTGGAATTCCTAGCAGAAGGAAGATGACAGTGTTGCTCTCTAGCCATTTGATACCTGAACTGGGTCTCAGCAGATAGGACTGAGAATCATCAGGAAATTTACCCTCTCGGAAATACTGTTTACTTTCTCAGGAAATTTACCCTCTCGGAAATACTGTTTACGGTAGGTTTTTTGCACAAAATTAGGATGTGATTTATACTATACCGCCCATTTTGTCTCAAGCAGCCATATGTGCCCGAAGGCTGTTCTGTTTTACCTAAATTGTATCCTCCTTGTGAGGGATTCATACAATGCTCAATTTGGTCATAACCTACTGATGCAGATTGGAGAGGTTAAGCTTTTGGCTTAGCCATTAAAACTATGCACAAGTTTAGCAGCAAGATTCAAACTAATAGCTAGTTGTATGAAATTGCACACGAAGTAAATTTAGACACTAAAGTAGGCCAGAGAGCCAGAGTACAAGCATATCTTCATGTTTAGGTGAAATTCATTTTTGTTGTTGTTGTATATTTTGCAAATGCATATGCGAACCACACAAGTAGCCAACTCAAGTTCAATGAAGCCATAGCACACTATCCATGCATGTTACTGTCTTCAAATTTAACTGAAAGCTTTGTACTGCTGCACTTTAAAGCAAGGTTGCATTCAGTGAAGATCACTATATTGGAGATCACACCATGGATGAAAGACCATTTATATAGCCACATGTGCTTATTTTTCTCAGTAACATATCTTGTTGTAAGCAATCCAGACTGTTGTAAACCTGCATGGCAATATCAATTGCTGCTTCAGTCATATGCTCATAGATACCAAAATTGGATGTAAGGATTGGGAATCATCAGAAAATTAGCCCTCGTAACATTGGGGGAGAAGCTGCGAAAAAATTTCTATGCAACACGGACTAATCCCTCATCTCTGGAGGCCTCTTCTGGTATTGTGACAGGTAGCTGACGAGGATCTTAAAGCAATCTCCTTCCCACCACTCATCCTCCGGCCTGCGCGCTTGATGGACGTTGGTGTGGCAACTGCCGGCACCACCGGCCTCCTGCCCTGGTTCTGGTTTGTCGCTTCATGGATGCTGCCCATACTTCTACATTGGTGAAATGGGGCTTTCTCCCCCACTGGAAATATAGTCATATATAATTCGGCATATTTTAATCCAGATAAATAACATAGTAAGCATGACATGTTAATAATGGAGTGATCCAATGATTAGTACTAAACATGAACATGCTAATAACAGTAATAGCATCATCTAGTAACATATTTAACACTAATATGAGTAGAGTAATATACCCAGTGAACACTCGAGAGAATGATGAGGCATTGGTGTTGCCTCCGTTGATGTTGACGTTCTCGGTTTTGCCTCCTACAGTGCTACCATTCCCTCCTCCTCCAGTAGCACTGGCACCGGGTAGACATGACGTTGTAGAGAGAGAAGACCTTGACAAAGAGGATGCAGTACCGAGAGTAGTTGTGCGAAGAACACGCTCCCAAAAACATAATCGCTCACCTACCAATGCAGGTTCTTAGGTGGACAGAGTTCCGGAGGCCTGCTCGTTCCGAGCACTAATGCGCGCAAGTCCTCAGGTGGACGGAGTTCGGGAGGACTGCTCGTTCTGAGCACTCGTGCGCGCAAGTGCTCAGAACTGAGGAAAAGCAGAAGTAGTGCAGGAACAGACCAGAAGGTGTGGTGTACCGAGGAAGAATAGGAGGATCATAGGAGAGATGAACCGAGAAGTGAGTTCTTTCTGTCTATCTCAGAGGAAGTGATAAGGATGCGCGAGAGACAGAGGAACGTTACAGGTGTCTATCCCGGAGGAAGTGATAAGGATGCGCATGAGAGAGAGGAACGTTACGGCCTTACGGGGAGTTCATAGCGATTAATGATGATGATTTCGTCCATTATTGGAGAAACATCATCATTAATCACCGTCGGTTACACCTTTACTTTCAGTAACATCACCATTAATCACTGGAGGAGGAATGTTACGGGGAGTTGGTGTGGTGTACCGATAAAGAACGGGAGGATCACATATGAGATGAACCAAAAAGAGAGTTCTTTTTGTCTATCCCGGAGGAGGTGATAAGGATGCATGCAAGAAAGAGGAACGTTACAGGGAGTTGACACAATTTATTAATGATGATGATTTTGTCTGTTATTGAAGTAATGTCATCATTAATCGCTGTCGGTTACGCCTTTGCTCATCAAAGCATTATTTATGATGATTTCGTCCATTTTTGAGTAACGTCATGATTAACGCCGTCAGTTACGCCTTTGCTCATCAAAGCAAAATGTTAGGGAGACAGGTAGCCGTCCGCACCGCACTGCACCCATGCTTAGGCCTCGGCCATGGCTTGGCTTGACGCGCGCATGTGTGGCAGTCCTACCATCACCTCAACCGCTCAACAAGTGCTCTGAATTAGCAGTGTATATAAGGTGGTATTAATCCTTTAACATTATTTGTCGGCCCATGAAATTTACTAAGATTAAATGGGGCCTAGCCGATTTAATTCTAACATGATCATGGCTACATATACTGGAATTCACCACTGCACCACTATCAAAGTCTGTCTGCAGTAGTGGATATAGGATTTCAAGCTAGGCTGTGTATTCACTCAACCATTGCCGATAAAATTCATCACAGGGAAATAAATAATGTTAGGAGGAGGAATTTCTAGATAATGGAATAAATATCTCGGTCGGCCTCTACATCTTGCGATATCAATGAACACAACCTCAGCAACCACACCATGAAACAGTAAACAATCCAATAGAAACAAACTTCTTAATAATAATCACTTGTCCACAAATCCTATGTTATTATGAAGTAAATGCCCACTAACCTCTAAAGTTCAACATGCAAGCATGTCATATCATCACCCATTAGCAATTATTATCTAGAGTATTTTAAATTACATGCCAGTGTACCATATTATCACCCACTAGCAATTATTATCTAGAGTACTTTAAATATCATACAAACATGATATATCATTTTCAATTTTGTTATATTTTTAGAGCTTAATATGCAAGCAATGTCAAATCATTATCTCCACATCATTTTCACATTATTTCATCCTATACATATATCATATCTGTAATGTATAACATACATTCTTTCACATATTCCGCAACAAAGCGCGGGGTATCAACTAGTTCTATTAATAAACTTCCACCCATGATTGGTGGAATGTTCCCATCAAAAGTTTCCAAATGAAAACGCACACCTTTATATTTCCATTCCACCTTTTGTATCAAGGATAAAGAATGAATCTAGTGAGTAACCTTGAGATTACCTGCATGGCAAAAGTTTGTACAGGAGATATATTGCATATTGTAGTTGATTGTATTGAGCTTCAGTGGCCAGTGTATATATTGGGTACAAGAGATAAGGAAGACTACTATACAAATCAACCATATTATAATATCTTTCTAACTATCATATACTCTAACATCCCCCATAGTCCAAGCATGAGCAGCTTAGACATTTAGAGACTTAGACTGGAGAATAAACCGGTGATAGTGCTGAACGATACCCTTGTGTTGTTGTCGAGGGGAGCCGAAGTGAAGGCACGGTGGAGTCATGATTGATGTAGTTGTGTGCAGAGTAGCCATGATCAAAGTAGCCAGAGTCGGGTTGCCGATGATGTGCGAGGTAGCCAAGCTATAAAGGCACAAGGAGCGCCATGGAGTGGCCATGTTGGATGGTGTCGTGGACCAAGGTGTGCGTGAGGACTCACCAAGAACGAAGATGGTGACACGATCACAGTATTCGCTGAGGAAGCCGACTATGCATTGCTGGGGAACCCATCTTTACTCCCGGTTTGCAAACCGGGACCTCGAATCCGGGACGATTTTTTTATTTTTTCATGTTTTTTGCTGCTTGCATATTGATTTCCATAAATCGAGTTGCTCTCTACATCCGCAAATCAAAGATTCACAGATAACATCACAAAGCACAAATAACATCACAGGTCCACATCACAAATTCTCAAAAAAAATACATCACAAATTATAAAAAAAATACATCACAAATGCATCATAGATTCACATCACAGATCAAATACATCACAATTTTTTTAAAAAAACATCACAGATTCGTATCACAGATCAAATACATAACAAATTCTAAAAAAAAGAATTCCTGGTGCTGCCGCCTGCCGCCCGCTGCCTGCTGCGTGCCGACGTAGAGGGAGGAGTGGACGAGGAGGAGGGCCCCCGGCGGCTCGGCGAGCCGTGGGCTGCTGCCTGCCGCCTCCCATCCGCCAGAGGGGAGGGTGCTACCACCCGCTGCGTCCCGCCCACCACCGCCTGTCGCCACTCGGCTGAGGGCTGACGGAGTGGAGGAGGAGGAGGAGGGGATCGGAGGAGAGGGGAGAGGGGAGGAGAGGATAAGGAAGATAGAGAGAGAGAGAGAGAGAGAGAGAGAAGAGGATGAGAAGATAAGGTGCGCGGTTGCGATGCCGAGGAGATAAGGAAAAGAGAGAGAGAGAGAGAGAGATGCCAATGACGTGGGAGAGATATTTATCACCAACCGGAACTAAAGTTTGTTGGGGGCTTGATAGCTATTGAACAGGAACTAAAGATCAAAAAGTACCTATAGGCTTTTGAATCGGGACTGGTGTGATTTTTGCATGACCCAACAAAGATCACTTCTCCAGTAGTGATGGAACCATGGAGGATGAGACGTCACCGGGCTTGCCAAAATTGGGTGACAACTTAAAAGGAAGGAGCACAATGGTGTTGCAAATACCGTGTGAACGAGGTAGGATACCAGCATGAACCTTACAAAATTGTCGAATTGAACTAGAAGAGAAGACCTCCAAGACAGTTGCGCAGTGGTGTTGCCAATACCGTGTGAGCAAGGTAGGATACCACCATGAACTTTGCACAATTGTTGAAGTGAACTAGAAGAGAAAGCCACCAAGACACTTGTGGTGCACAGGGTGATGTAAAGGTGGTGCACAGGATTAGGAAGAATTAGGAAATGAGCTCTCGCACCATGGGGGGGATTTTGACAGTTGAGTTTGTGCAGATCTATCAAAGATGCCAAACCAAGCCTGCCAGCCAGTGAACCTGCGAACTCATTCTCAAAATACTCTAGAATAAGCAGAAAGATAATTATCCACCACTGGGATTTATGCAGGTTGAGAGTGATTTACTGAAATACGCCATCATAAAGAAACCAAATATCAATGTTTTTAATACAAATATTAATGCCAGATTCATAAACATGGAAATGCATGATGGCTCAATCAGAAAACTGATTAATCTCTAAGGTGTGTTCTTGTTAATCGTCTGATATTAGTACATATTACTAACGGTTTGATTTCAAGCTAAACCTTGGTCTCCAGAATGGTTATCAAAGAACCTTCAGAGATAAGGGGTCGAGCATTAGCTGTTTTGTACATACAAGTGTGCAGTAATTCTGCTATATATATTCTTTTGAACAATATGAAGTTTGTTTGACGTCAAGGAATGTATGAAGTGAACAATATGAATTTCGTTTGAACAGTGCGTATTCAGATGGATCATAATTTCCGTGGACTAATAAGGAATTCTGTAATAGAAAAATTGAAGGTTCAACTATGATTTCTTTGTTTACTAGCAAGAGAACTGGTACTTCTGCTATTTGTTACCAGATTTTGGAAACCAAAATATCTGTCATGTAGGATATGTGTAGGATCCAAATTTGATATAATCGATCAAAACGCACACAGTACTCCAATTTTGCTAATGTAGGATCCAAGTTTGAGCTGATCAATCAAATTCCTTGGAAATCAAAGAGCATGTGGTGTTCCTGTCTTTATTTAAATAAGTGCTGTCAGGAGCCAGATTATGAAATGAATGTCATAAGAATGGACGCATCATATAGACAGTGAATGGCCATTATATGTACCAATGCCCTCATCTCTTGCCACACGGTGAACACACATTCCGAAAAACACACATCAAGAATTTTAAATGAAAATTTGAAGCATATGAAATTCCCAGCAGAAGAAGGTAGCAGTCATGCTCTAGCCGTTTGATACCCCAAATTTGTGTGAGCAGTTAGCACTGAGAATCACCAGGAAATATATACTCAGAAGAATCTTGTTAGGTGGTGATCTGAACTATACCATCAGTTAGGGATGAATCGAGGTTACTACAAAAAGAAGTGTTGGACTCAAGCTGCCATATCTGACCCAAGGTTATTCAGCTCTGATGGTTGTTTGTATGCCAACTGTCATAGCGCATTGGCTCATCCCAATTCGTTGAGGACATGATTTGAAAGCTTAACAACATTTGGGATCTTCAAAACTTCAAGATGGCAATCGCCCAGTGATGGAAATATTAAGCTCTTGTGGTCGAGCCATTAAAATTATGCACAAGTGCTAGCAGACAAATTCAAACTAATAGCCTGATTTCTGAGATTGCATTCAAAGTAAATTAAAACACACGAGTAGTCGGAGAGTCGGTACAAGCATATCTACGTGTTTTGGTGGCACTTATTTTTCTGATTTTGTAGATTTATATCAGCATGTGAACCAAGAAATTATCTAACTCAAATTCACACATGGAGGTGTGCAATTCAAGTGCCAAATTTCTTAGTTGTTTAACAGAGAATAGCATTCGTGAATCATGATAGGCTGAAGCCTTGAAGGGATGGAACACATGGAGCAACGCAAGAAACAAAACTCAAGTATTAATTTCACTTCTGTAAATAACTCGTTAGTTCCACAGTAATTAATCTGCCAAATCTCTCCAGTTTCTTGATTCATATGCATTAAATCAGATATTTTTTTTAACTTTGATCTGTAAATCCTCTATGTCAGTAACTTTGATATTGTAGTTTTTCAAACACTTCACAAACGCGGAGAACTCGATCAAATTTGTCCTCAATTTGATGCAATCATTCATGGATTGGGATGCGTCAGGAATATGCTCCCATCATTTCAGGGATGCAACTGACAGTGTACTGCTGACTAATATTCCATTCCCAGGGAAGCACCACATCTAGTACTAGCTTGCATCACTATAATCGCCAACCATAGGTAGCTTGTTGATGTTTCAACTGATCTTAACCAGATCACTATAATTGCTGTAGTGGAAGGACTAATGCAATTCATCTCTTTATATTTGAACTGAACGTCCAATGCAATTCATCTCAGTCGATTCAGAGATCCAAACAGAGCCTAAAGTATCAAATGTTTGATCGTAATAAGCAAGTAGTATAAATAGATACAGATCACACCGTATGTAAAACACACCAAAAAATAAAAAAACCAAGGGAGCATGTTCTAACAATTCCATGTAGGCCAGCTGTCCAATTCCAACGTGAAGCTATAAAGAACACAGGGGTTTTTAATTCCTGAGAGCCAAAGCATTTTGGTGTCTAAAAAGTTCAAGAATGTTGCTCCAAGAAAGTTTAAGAACACATTCCAACATGATCAGTAACTAAAGCACGAAACTTGACCAGTCTATGTATAATACCATACCAAACGATGATCCATTGTCTTTTAACGTTTCAAAGCACCCTCTCCGTTTCAGATTATAAATCATTTGACTTTGGTCAAAGTATTTTCAAGTTTAACTAAGTTTGTAGGCAAATATATTAATATTTACAATACTAAATTAATTTCATTAAATATATTTTTATAATATATTTGTCTTGTGATGAAAATATAAATTCTTTTTTCTATAAATTTGATCAAACTTCAAAGTCAAAACGACTTATAATCTAAAATGGAGGGAGTACTTGATTATGGTTTTTCTTTGTCAAGATTTCAAATAACCGTTTGACAGGTTGCACATTTCACTATAGACTTGTCAATCTCAAATACATGATGTTCCAGTCTATATTCGAGGTGCTTATAGGGATAGATTATGTGTTTGGGTGTTCCAAGGGGATGACTGTGCGCGCATGTGTACGAGCATCTACATTTGAATGAGTTTCTTTTCAAAAAAGTTGAAGATTATTTTATTCCGTGCTAAATGTTACTACCTCTGTCCCAAAATAAGTGCAGCCATGGATATCCGTGCCCAACGTTT